ATATATTTATATATATATATATATATATATATATATATATATATATATATATATATATATATATATCACCAATCTTCACCAATACTGCAGAAGACCTATTAAAACCCGCATGAACCCAAGATTCTCATGGAAATCCGACAAGTTTGGTGAAGGAAAATTCATGGTTTGGGGTTACATTCAGTATGGGGGGTGCGAGAGATCTGCAGAGTGGATGGAAGCCTCACCAGCCTGAGGTATCAAGACATTTGCGCTGCCCATTACATTACAAACCACAGGAGAGGGCAAATTCTTCAGCAGGATAGCGCTCCTTCTCATGCTTCAGCCTCCACATCAAAGCTCCTGAAAGCAAAGAAGGTCAAGGTGTTTCAGGATTGGCCAGCCAAGTCACCAGACATTAACATTATTGAGCATGTCTGGGGTAAGATGAAGGAGGAGGCATTGAAGATGAATCCAAAGAGTCTTGATGAACTCTGGGAGTCCTGCAGGAACGCTTTCGTTGCCATTCCAGATGACTTTATTAATCAGTGATTTGAGTCATGTCAGAGATGTATGGATGCAGTCCTCCAAGCTCATGATGGAGTCAGACACGATATTCATTCTGTCTCCACTGCAGCAGGACTTTATATTCTATACTGGACATTATTTCTGTTCAGTGACAAGAATTTATCCCACTTATCCAGCACAAGTTTTACGCAGCGGATGCCCTTCCAGCTGCAACCCATCTCTGGGAAATCATAAGCAATATAGTTATTGTAATACTCAAAAACATCGTATATTTTTCCAGTATTGTGCAGCCCTAGAGTAAAGTGCAGGTCACATTAGTGTCCTAATACAGTGCTGGAGTCTCCTACAACAGGTTTTAATGCATCTAAGGTCAGAAAATACTGTCATTTTCTTAGAACGTTTTTAATAATTTTGCGGTGAGTTCAGAACTTAAGGTATGTAAGCCCCTCCCCCTTCCTTAAACCAACTCTGCTCTGATTGGTCAGCTGGCCAAGTCTGTTTTAATTGATCTTTCTGTGTCTGAACAGAAACGCTCATTTTAGTGTTCACATGTGGCAGGTAAACTAGAAAAGTTCATTTGATTTAGCTCATTTTTTTTTGTCGTTTCAACCTTATATAACTTTAATTTGAGTTAACAAAACCTAAAAAGTTGTAGGTTTTGCAATTCCACTACTTTAAATTTTCAAAAATCTAGATTTCCCACAAAAAGTAAGTTCATATTTTGTATTTAACACTATTTTTAATTTATTTAAAACATTAAACTACTGTTATTTTTTCATTTTCGTAAACTAGAACAACTTTACAGATCGGAAATGCATTAATAGAGGATTATAAAAATAATTTAATGACTTTTAATTGTAAAAATCTAATTAAAATATTATTTCAAACAGATTTTCTGTCAATATCCACATTCAAATGTGACATTTCCCCAAATGCCATTTGCAATATTGATGATCCCATATTTAAATTCTGATTAGCCATATAAAAACTCTTAATAATCCATTATTAATGATGTTATTAACTTCATTAGTCAGGTCGAAGTCAAGTCTCCCGCTCTGGATCAGTCAGATGGAGTTTTTGGGCTCTTAATGTCAGACAGGAGTTGTGAAAGATGAAATTACTCTGAGATTTAGCATTGATTTCAGTCTATTCAGCTGTAAAAGCTCAGGCTAATTTCCCTGATTGACCACACAAGAGTTGCTGAATGAAATCAGCTGTTATTAGAGCTCTTTATATTCAGCCAGACTGAATATAAGACTGTGATTGGCTGATCTGATCTTTGGCTCTTCTTTCTCTCACAGGACTTCGGTTTGGCAGAAGACTTCGCAACTAAAGCTCTGGAGCTCAAACCCAAATCATACGAGGCGTATTACGCTCGAGCCCGAGCCAAACGCAGCAGCAGGTCAGACCATCATCCGCACACTCTGTTAAATAATGTATATTTATGTATATTGTTATTGTATGAATGGCTGCTTTCTACTAATACTAATAGTTTGATATGACTGGTGTTTTAATATTTAAAGGTGCTGTATGTAAGTTTTTGACTCTTCTAAAGCATAAAAACACCATAATATGCTTGTAGATATTTCAGAAACATGCCGAGTGAACATTCTTGTTTATGCTGAAGTCAGATATTCTGCTTTGAAAATGTGCATTACGTGCTGGAACGTCTGTCTTTGTTTTGGTTCTTTTAACCCGCCCACTGCCAGTTTAGCCAATTATATTTCAGCACTCTGGGTTGCCAGATGGCGGAAAACCTGACATTTGATTGAGTCATGAAGGCTCTCAAAGTATATGTCCATGACTGAAATGTGACCTCCGGTGGACAGTAGCAGACTCCAAAATGAGACGCAGATTCAAAGTTCCACATAAGGTTATTAATTAGCAAATAATATAAATATTATCAACATAAACATTATGTGAGCAGGTTACATTGTAACCCCGTGTCCTAACAACACTATACGTGATGAGATTTGCAGCGATAACCAATGTGGCTGTTTACATTTTAATACAGCCATTCAGAAGCACATTTTAAACGTCTTTAACATTATTAAATGGAGATGCTGAATCACTGATATGTGTTGGTTTGCACCGAGTCGCATATCTAAAGTTTAATTTATTTTCAAGATCTGAGGTGAGCTATCTGCTGCTGCTTTCAGTAGTATGGCAATAATGTGATGGATAAATGGCGTTCAAACTCACATTATTAGCATTTAACACTGAATAAAGCACATGAGGTGTCCCTGAGGTACATGATTGTCAGTTTTCTGTTGTTCAGCTGTGAGAAATAGAAGCCGTTTCTAATATTTCAGGTGTTGGTTAGAACAAAAATTCCTTTTAATAGAGGTGTGAGCCTACACTGGTCTCACGGTTTAGTTCGGTTACGCTTATCATGCCATTGATTCGGTTCAATTCGATATCACGGTGCATTTACGATGCTTTCCATACACAGTGTTATTTTGTTCCAGTGTTATGAGGGTTGGATAAAATAAAGGTTAATTTAACTCATATTAACCTTTATTTTACATCTACAGAATCGTGAGAAAATCATGATCTTTATTTTAAACAAAAAAAAACGCGATTCTCATTTTAGCCAGAATCGTGCAGCTCTAATACATGTGTAAATGTATAGATATTATTTAAGTGCATAATATATTATGTAATTATATAAGATATATTTTTTTTATTAATTAATTAATTTAATTTATTAAATGTAACTTACATTAACAGTTGAAGTCAGAATTATTAGCCCCTTTTCGAATTTTTTTAACTTTTTAAAATATTTCCCAATTGATGTTTAACAGAGCAATGAAATTTTCACAGCATGTCTGATAATATTTTTTCTTCTGAAGACAGTCTTATTTGTTTTACTTCAGCTTGAATAAAAGCAGTTTTAAATTGTTAAAAAAAACATTTTTGGGACAAAATTATTAGCCCCTTTAAGCTATTTTTTTTTTTCAATAGTCTACAGAACAAACCATCATTATACAATAACTAACCTAATTCCCCTAACCTGCCTAGTTCACCTTATTAACCTAGTGAAGCCTTTAAATGTCACTTTAAGCTGTATAGAAGTGTTTTGAAAAATATCTAGTAAAATATTATTTACTGTCATCATGATAAAGATAAAATAAACCAGTTATTAGAGATGAGATATTAAAACTATTATGATTAGAAATGTGCTGAAACAATCTTCCTCCGTTGAACAGAAATTGGGGGAAAAAATAAACGGGCGTTAATAATTCAGGGGGGCTAATAATTCTGACTTCAACTGTATATATATATATATATATTTTTTTTTTTTTTTTTTTTTTTTTGTTAAAACTATTTTACCTGATATTATATTTAATCCCATGCTTGTGAAAAATTATGTGGTTTGATTTTTTTCTTCTGACAATTTCTTCTTCATATAACTCCTACAAAGACAGCATTGTTTGCATGTCCTGTCTCTAATATATTTCTGATCTTCCCTCCTGTCTGTTGTGCACACAGGCAGTTCACGGCAGCATTAGCCGACCTGCACGAAGCCTCGAAGCTCTGCCCGAACAACCGAGAGATCTGCCGTCTGCTGGCACGGGTGGAGGACGAGTGCAAACAGATGCAGCGCAGCCAGAGCAAACAACAGAACCTCTCAAACCCTGAACACCATCAGCAGGAGCACGCAGAAGAAGAGGAAGACGACGACGATGAAGACGACTCTGAGGCCTGGTCTCAAAACATATACTCGCTAAACCGCACTTCAAACGGCCGATCGGCGTCTCCGCCACACAAACACAGCCTTCGCCAGCAACACAAGAGTCTGCTTCTACAGCCCAGCAAACAAGCGCAGATCGTCAAAACCAACCAGCATCTGGGCTCCTTACAGCCTGCGTCCGGACGAGTCAAGAATCAGTACGCTCCATCCAGCCCTATTCCAAGCCGACACATTTCTAGTGTGCTAAAAGCCGGACCAGGCATTGATATTAGCCCGCTAGCACCTGCAAATGCTGTTGAGACTGAAGATCTGCATCACGTACAGGTGCATTCGACTCTCGATGGAGCCAATGTTAACGCAAGTCAGGATTTGAGGAAGGATGCTAATGCTAGCATGAGGGTTTCTAGCTCCACTAGCAGCCTGGCGTCCAGCAGTAGTTTATCAGACAGCGGGAAGACCCAAGGACCAGATGTCCGCACCAAAACCAGAACGGATAAAGGTAAAATCAGCCAGAGCGGCTCTGTGGATTATAAACCGCGTCCGTTCATGGGGGTCATGGATAAAACGGCTCGTTTTCAGCAGCCGACGGCCACTCGGAGCTGGCAGAGTCACTCTACTGACGGTGTCGTAGCTTCAGCGGGTGAAATCACGTTCGCTAAACCGTCCAGTGTTTATTATGAGCAGATGAAGGGGCCGGCGGGTTTGCATAACGGTGGTCTGCACGCCAAAGAGTTCGGCCATAAAGAGGGAAAAGCAGTCCTGGCGCATTCATTTACGGACAGCAAACCCGGATTAAATCGAGAAACCGCCACCGCTCATGTAGCGTCCATGAAACCAAAGAGATCCTTTATAGAGTCCAATGTTTGAGATGATCATATCCAGCACACAGACACTTACCATTCACGACCACTCAAAAGTTTGGAGTCTTAAAGGTCCCGAATTTTAGATGTTAGTTTCAGCCTGTTCATTTTAAGGATGTTTATTAGCTAGTGCGCTCCAAAAGAGTGTCTGCGTCCGAAATCGTTTACTTTCATACTATATAGTACGCTTAAAACTATATGTGAGCCAAGCAGTATGTCCAAATTCATAGTATGTGAGAAGTCCCCATGTAACCCCACCGGTTCAACTCCACCCAACACGCTCCGAGCTGGTATCGAACCGGTGAACTTCCGCATGGGAGTCTGTTGCTCTAAAAAGGAGGCTAAAGGCTATGGCCTCTAGCTGCTGACGCTAAAGCACCTTTAAAAGGTCAGAGTGAGCATAGATATATACACTAGATATTGCATAGGGACCCTGAGCATGCGTCAATAGCACCGCCACATTGGTACAGTGCTCCCAGGACAAATGTCATTCAACCGCACTAGTCAAGACAGTGTTATTACGTGAAGATGCGGGATTTTAGCGCTGTCTACGGGTGTAGTAACGAGCAAACAAAAAAAACAAAGCACAGAGGCAAAACATTCCATAGGTAATATTAAGTTTTTTTCTGTTTTTGTATGTTCTGAACTTTTGTGCTAATCAGGTAACGTTATTGATGATAACAGTCACTTACTGCATTCACCATACAGCAAAGCAGCTCCAACTCGCACTAAACACTCGGCTTATGCTAGTTTTGTTGAATAAAATCAGCAAACAATGCAAAAGAAATATGACAACGAGATGCTGCGCTGCCAGAAACTTGTATTATTGTCGGCTAACGTTAGTGAAAGAGTCGTTCGGGGGATTCATTCACAAACGAATCGCTCCCTCCGTCAGTATGAGAAGTGAAAGCAGGAGAGGAGCTGTGTTTCAGGACATGATTAGATCAAATTTAACAGGGAGGGTGAATAGTACATTTCTCTACACACAAACACAAGCTTTTTGTCAGGAATGCCCGTGCGGTCACTGATCCATCAATGTAGAAAAGTGATGTAAAATTATAATTTTCGTAATTAGAAAAAAAAATTACATAGTAACATCCAGGAAAACTCCCGATCATAGATATATGTGTATATGTGTATATCTCTGGCTTTGGATGGCCACAGTCCTCCACTGTACCTTGGTCCCGCATTCATTTCAAAGGAGCGCTACCCTGTAGCAAGATGGCGGCGCTATTGACGCATTCCGTCCAATAGACAACAATAGGCCAGGCGACATCTAATGTATATATCTATGCAGAGTGAGGTTTACCTGCACAGCACTTTCTAGCTGGCCTCTGTTACACCCTTCTACTTCCGGCAAGATTCTGAAGTGTGCATCTGATGCACGCTTCACTATCCCTTGATATTCACGAATGAATGTAAAGCGAGGCGGGTTGGTCACGTGAGCATGACAAAATGGCGGCTGTAGTACATCAGAGTTCTAAAGAACGGGTTTTTCTAATGGTCGAGTGGTACATTGGAATGCAGTTCCTACTGAGTAGTAAGCGGTTCCGGACGCAGTTATTAGAAATTAGTTATTAAAACTATTATGATTAGAAATGTGTTGGAAGAAAAAATCTTCTCTCTGTTAAACAGAAATTGGAAAAAAACTAAATAAACGGGGGCTAATAATTCTGCCTTCAACTGTACATTCTGAACTGTATTTTAATGCAGACTTTAAAAGCCCTTTTCATTTGTGAATCACTTATCGACCCCAAACTTCTGAATTGTGGTGTGTTTATAATAAAGATAAACGTTTGGACACGCATAGTGCTATTTTCCATATTGTAAAGCACAGTTCCTGGAGTGCCGCAGCTCTACACTGTTTAGTTCCAACACTAATTAAACACCTGGGGTCCGTTCTTCGTACGTGGATTACTCAGTTAGCTGGATTTGGATGTTGACGATTTGACATGATCCAGGATCGTTTCGTTCTTTAAAGCTGATCTGAGAGTTGTTGTCATAGCAACAGTTCTGCTAGCTCAAACCTGATCGGGAGCAGGTTCAATTCATATAAACAGGATTAGATCGGCTCAGTTCAAGCAAAGATAATAGAGAAAGTACTGAATTATGATATTTTCTTACAGTAGTAGTTATATACACTTGGGAAAATAGTAAATATTTTTAACTATATTTATTTTATTAATAACTGTAACTTTATATATAAAGTTATATTAACAAAACTTATGCAATCTGCACCCTCGAAATGAAAGTACAAAGAGAAAATTTATTGATATGAACTTTTTAGATCGCTTTAGACAATTTGTGTGTGATAATAGAAATGCAGAATATGTGACTTTTAAAAAAAAAAAGACATAATACATTTATGCAGTCATGAACATGTTTTGATAGTTAATATGCCAGTGATTTGATGCTTCACAAAAGTTGCAGACGCCTTTACAAATATCAAAATACTTTTGTAAACATCCAGTTATTCCATACAGCGATTAAAAAACGGCTACTATAATAAAGAAAATCAGTTCACAACTGCAGTTCACAACAAATGTGGAAAGTTATTGCGTGTCATTTTAACAAGCCGTTTACTGCTAATTTGATGTAATTTTGCTCACATGGATAATTGAATATTAATCAGATGATGTCATTACGCTGCTGTGCCGTCAGCCAATCGCTGCATTGCTGATCATGATTTCGAGGATCGATAGATCTGTCCTTCACAACACACGCAGCGATCTCAGATCAGTTTATCCAGACATTCTAATCTGATTCGCGAACTTGTTTGAAGAACCAAATTAGCGAGAGATCAGTTATCAAGATTAAAAGATCCGGGATCTGCCAAATCATCTTAGATCATTTAAGCGAGGTACGAAGAACGGACCCATGATCAAACTAATTGAGTGCTTCAGTTTTGTTTGAAACCTACAGGTGAAGCTACGGTCACATTAGAGTTTGAGCATGCGATATTCTGTTGTGCTGCGCTGCGAAAACGGACAGCAATAAACAAGATTATTAGACATTAAAAGCGAGCGATTGCTCCATGATTTAAATTTCTGTCCAGAGTGGTCATGCTTGGATTCTCGATTGGTCAGAGTTCACCAAGCTTGAACTTTGCACCGCAGCAACTTAACGCATGACCTTGCGTTTTCCGGTCTGACGCATTTGCGTGTGTATAAATGGAAGTCTATAGGAGGAGAAGCCCAGTGTGAGCGCAGCTTAAGTGTGTTGAAGCAGGGTTGGAACTAAACTGCAGCCCTCCAAAAGCTGGATTTGACACCTGTGTAATGTAAAAGATCATCAAATGTACATTTGTTTTAATATGTTCAAATGTAGGCGCATTTTTATGATTGATTGTCTACAAAAAAACTACTTTCAAGCCTTTAGGTTTTAAAATAAATCATAATAATGACACAGTATCATATGGTATATGTATTTTTATACATATATAAGATTAAGAGAGCGTTCACAAATACAATATTGAGGCAGAAATCTATGGTTTGTATTCTGCTGTGGTTTTCTTGAGCATCCTGGATGGTTGATTTTGCTTTCCAAGCCCTTTAAAAGGGATCAAAATAAACTGTAAAAGGACAATGATGTCTGTGTAAATATTATTACAGCGTGCGTGTGTGTGTGTGTGTGTGTTTTCCACCTTGTATGTGAAGATGGTGTATTTGAGTTTTTCCTGCAGTTTTGGTTGACGTGTAGTTGCTCTGATTGTACATTACGGTTGAATTTTGCCCCCTGCTTGTTATTCCTGTCCAGATTAATTTATTTACGGCGCCTCTGGCTTAGTAACTGTCAAAGCAATATATTTTATATAGTTATTTTTGCACAGCTACTTCTAAAGGAAATATGAATGCGGTGGCCACCTGAGCGCATGCTAAAGTTTATGTGAAGGAATTGGAGGAAAACACATATTACAGTTATAAAAGTGAGGAGTGTATGAGCGGGCAGATGTTATATTTCTAATGTGTGTATATATTTTATTTTTTTTCTGCAATTGGTGCCTCATGAATTGTGATCGGTTGCTGCATTCTGTATTACAAATGAATTCATTTCTGCCATGATCTGTCTATGGGAAATAAAACTCCCGATGGAAAAAAACAGTATTGCTGTGATTGTGTTGCACTGTTGTCTGGGCAAAACTTTTAATCATTAATTACAAGAAATGCACTATAAATAAAAACTATTTTACAGCAGCATTAATATATTTTTACTTTTACAACAAAAGGTGGGTCAAAAGCTTATTTTATAACATTTAATCAGTCTATTTATTTTAGCACAAATTTATCAATACACATATGTGTGATATATACATACATATATACATCATATATATATATATACACATCATACATAATGTTTGATGTTCCACTGAATGCATAATAATATTATTTTCCCACTTACAATATTGACAAATATATTTCACTCAGTATTTTCTTTTCGGCTTAGTCCCTTTATTAATCAGGTGTCGCCACAGCGGAATGAACCGCCAACTTATCCAGCACATTTTTACACAGCGGATGCCCTTCCAGCCGCAACCCATCCACACACTCATTTACACACATACACTAGGGACAATTTTAGCCTACCCAATTCGCCTGTACCGCATGTCTTTGGACTGTGGGGGAAACCAGAGCAACCGGAGGAAACCCACGCGAACGCAGGGAGAACATGCAAACTCCACACAGAAACGCCAACCGACCAAGCTGAAGCTCAAACCAGCGACCTTCTTGCTGTGAGGCGACAGCACTACATACTGATGAAATGAAGGATTAAATAACGTTAGAACATCACATGCTTAAAATGTGTAGATTCAGTGGAAAACACTGTTACCTGAAATCTCCGTCCCACCGGCTTTACGGTGAATGCCTTAGTCATAGCAGGGCCAGACGGAATCTGGGGACGTTTTTTGCTATTTCTGCTGAGAATTTTGGTAAAAATCTGTGGATTTATTTTGGGAGTATTATAACTAAAACCTTAATGTGTGAAATAAAAAATAATACATTTTTACTTTTATTTAATGTTTAAAATGCAAATCCAATTAGATCCACTTTATTTGGTAAACAAAGCAAGTCTCTTATCTAAAAGCAAGTCTCTAGCTACTAAAAGACAGAAACTATTACTGTACAAACTGCATTGTACATAAATCAGATGAACATTTTCATATGTCAATAATATTACTGACATTAATTTAAAAACTGAATAAATGTAGATCTACACACATTTACTCAAGTAAATAAACAGAATTAATGATGGGCTAAAAATCTGCGGAATTCTGCGCGTGCAGATTCCGTGTGGGTCTAGTCATAGCGGACTTTAACCACTGGAAGTCTTTAATCCACTCTTTGAAAAGTGTAAATGCTGGATTGACATTCAGCACATGTTCACTGATCAGATGTGTCATTGTTTATAACTTTAGGTGGTTTCTAAAACTTAATCTGTCAGTGTTTTTTTCATTATCTCGGATCCAGTCCTTTACGTTTTCGCGGC